CCGATCTTGTTGGTTATGCCGATACTGGGTATTTATCTGACCCACATAAGGCTCGATCTCAAACAAGCTATGCGTTTACATATGGAGATACTTCCATATCTTGGCGATCGACTAAGCAATCAATCGTGGCTACGTCATCTAATCATGTTGAGATAATTGCTATTCATGAAGCAAGTCGAGAATATGTATGGTTGAGGTCTATAATACACCTTATTGGAGACAAATGTGGTTTGAAGTGTGACAAACTACCCACAATTTTGTATGAAGACAATGCATCATGCATAACCCAATTGAAGGGAGGATTCATAAAAGGGGATAGGACAAAGCAAATTTCACTGGAGTTATTTTTCACGCATGATCTTCAAAAGAATGGTGATACCAATGTACAACAGATCCGTTCAAGCGATAATATGACTGATTTGTTCACCAAATCTCTACCGACGTCAACCTTCAAGAAACTAGTGTACAAGATTGAGATGCGAAAGCTCAAGGATGTGAATTGATGCTCTCATCAGGGGGAGTTAATACGTGTTGTACTCTTTTTTCCTTACAAGATTTTGTCCCACTAGGTTTTCCTTGCAAGTCTTTTAACGAGGCAACCAAAAGACGTATTTCTAAACATGTGTACTCTTTTTCCTTCACTAGGATTTTTTCCCATAGGATTTTTTCTTAATAAGGTTTTAACGAGGCACATTATCTATGGACATCCAAGGGGGAGTATTATAAGAAAAATTAAATTATGGTGGATGTCTACTCTTCCTCCATGATCTTCTCAAATGCTTAATGACATATTTTTATGATTAATGACATATTCAATGACATATTTTTCTTCACTTTTCATGCCTATATAAAGGCCTTGTAATAGATAAGAAAATACACACAATTGAATAAAAAATAATCTTCCTTCTCTCTATCTCTATTTCTTATTCATGTTTTACTAAATTGCTTTTATTTCATAACATTGTTTTTATTTATGAAAAAGGAATGGTAATTCTAAAGCATGAAGGAAACATACGTAGTTCGGAACTTTGTAGCTTTGTCGTTTCTTCTATTTTTTATTTAGTTTTTAAAAAAATAATAATTTAACAGAATGCTGTTAAATTCTAAGGATTCGAACCCAAGTATTTATCCTGTGAACCTAGAACCTTTTCCACTGAACCCATACCTCTTTTGCTACTAGGTTTGGCGTACTAAATATATATAACTACAATAACTTTTTCAACACAAATATAGGGTCTAGAAAAAAGTCACTGTGTTCCCGAACCCGCACGCTCTACCGTGTCAAACACTTTTCATTGTTTCAAAATATAATGAGTGTCGTAAAAATTGAAACGAATAGACTAGCAATGAACAAAGACGGGTAGGTCTAGGACCTAAATCATTGAAGATATGGAATATATGACCTCTTCTCAGACCTTAGTTTAGGTCACTTTTTTTAAAATAACATTATCCCAATCATTCAAATTATAAAATTGCTGGTGAAAGTATGGCGTGCAAGTCTTGGATAAACTTTGCCTGCTATTAAAACTTCAAATCCAAATAACAAGAAGAAACAAATATCATTGCTTTCATGTTGACCTGCAGCTAGAAATGGAAAAATCAAAAAGAGATGTTGATGAAGCAGCAATGCAGTCCTCTTCTGGTCGAAAAAATGGTGGCTGGATAACCTTCCCCTTCATTATAGGTATATTTTTTCACCCTTTTATTACGATAACAATAACGACACCACAAGTTGGGTTTGGGGAGGGTAGTGTGTAGTGGCAAAGCCAGCAATTATCAAGGCTGTTCAAACTTAAAAGAAGCAAAAAAAATCCCCGGCAAAGGGTGTTCTTTATATATTATATATCTCTAAAACATAATATTTTACCTATATATGCAGTGTAATTTTCTGAATTGACCACCCTTACCGGAGTGGAGCTTCGCCCCTAGTAGTGTGTACGCAGTCGCAGACCTTACCCTTACCTTGTGAAGGTAGAGAGGTTGTTTCAAGGAAAACAATGGAGTAACCTTTTTCACCCTTTTATTAAGAGTCGAATTCAGGATTTAGAGTTCGTGGATTCACAATGGCCTAACCTATTATGTGTTTACATCTTTTAGTATCTTTTACATATGTATACATGATTCGAGCAGAAAGCAGCGAGTTCGGTTGAACTTGTCGAATCCACTCTAAATCCGCCTCTACTTTAGTTTACCTTGCTGCCTACCCCGTATTGTTAATACTTTAGTCCATGTGACACAGGTTGAGATATGTTAGATTGATAATCTTGAATGTTTTGATTGGTAATTTCAGCAACTATGGCGGGCTTATCGCTTGCGTCTGGAGGGTGGAATAGCAATCTGATTGTTTTTCTGATAAATGAATTCAACATGAAGAGCATCAAAGCAGCTAAAGTTTACAATGTAGTCAATGGTTGCACCACCCTTTTCCCAATTCTTGGTGGAATCATTGCTGACTCTTATCTTGGCTGTTTTTCTGTCATTTGGATTTCTTCTCTTATCTCCGCGCTGGTACATAAACTAACTCTTTCAATAGATTCATCTTCAGTTCTTCAAAATACAGTCAGAACTTTTTATAATAGCATCTATATATAACAGTCATTCACTATAAAAGCCAAGTTTTTCTTGGAACCGATTTTTATGTTATGTTATAATATATGTATAGCAGCCAAAAATATCGGAACAAACGAGATGGTTATAGAAAGGTTTGACCATAGATTAAGACCAATAACCACATATTGATTTCTTGATGGCATTTGCAGGGTATATTGTTTCTACTATTGACAGCAGCAATTGATGTATTAAGACCTGCAGCATGTGATGATGGATCCAGTCTTTGTACAAGCCCCTCAAAACACCAGTATGCAGTATTATATGTGGCTATGGGACTAGCTTCTTTAGGGGTTGCAGGTACGCGTTTTACAATTGCGCCCATGGGAGCTAATCAATTTGATAATCCAAAACATCAAGCAATTTTCTTTGATTGGTACATATTCGCCTTTTACACGTCCTTTGCTATAAGCACCACGGCCATTGTTTATGTGGAGGACAATATTAGTTGGTCATGGGGTTTTGGTATCTCTTTGGCTTTTAACATCCTTGGCCTGGCAATGTTTCTCATTGGGAAACGTTTCTATCGCCATGTTAAGGAACAAGGAGGCAGCCCTTTCGTCAACTTAGCACGTTGTATTGTCGCTGCCATTAGGAAATGGAGAGTCCCTCTTTCAGAACAAACTCAAAGCTACTACCATGATCCAAGTGATACAACCACAATCACAACCTCTCCGGTTCCTACAAAGTTCTTCAAGTATACCTCCATTTTCGTTATCGTTCTGCTTATCTAGACTCTTTGTCAAATTGATTAGCTGATCAAGTCCTGTTGTACAGGTTCTTGAATAATGCAGCTTTTATTACTGAGGGAGACACCAAATCAGACGGCTCGATTAGGAACCCCTGGAGACTATGTACAGTGCAGCAAGTGGAAGATTTGAAAAGTTTGATCAAGCTTTTCCCTCTATGGGCTAGTGGTTTACTTATATCCACACAACTAGTCATGCAATCAAGTCTGCTAATTCTTCAAGCTCTCAAAATGGATCGACATATGGGACCTCATTTCGAGATCCCAGCTGGTTCTATGTTAGTCTTCATAATGTTATTTACCTGTATAATGATAGCAATCATTGATAGACTACTCTACCCTTTTCTAGCTAAGTACACCCACTTTTCTATCACCCCACTTCAGCGCATTGGAATAGGCCATGCGCTGACTATAGTTAGCATGGCTGTCTCCGCGCTGGTGGAATCCAGGAGGCTGAGGCTCGTTAGATCGCACCATCTCCAAGGCCAAAATGGCGCCATTGTTTCAATGTCAGTCTTTTGGCTCGTGCCACAGCTAGCTCTAAATGGAATTGGAGAAGGGTTCCATTTTCCAGGACATATGGGGTTTTATTACCAAGAATTTCCAGCATCTTTGAAGAGCACCTCGACTGCAATGGTTGCGCTGTTTATTGGTATCGCGTACTATATAGGAAACGGGTTGATTGATCTGGTTCAACGACTAGCAGGATGGTTGCCAGACAATATCAACGACGGAAGAATGGATAATGNCTGGAGCCAGCGGGTTCTGAATGACACAGGTAACAGAGCGAAGCCTTAGGCTGATAAACTAATTGAAGCCGCTTCCATGTTTTCATTCCATCTTCATTCCAAACAAAGGCGAACGTCTCCATTGAGTGACCGTAAGAAAGAGATGAATCCTTTAAATGAGTGAATGCTTACTAACAAAAGGTGTAAATTGGTGTCTTTTTTGCAACAAAATTATCAGTTAGCAGATTTGTCACTAAGCATTGTCAATGTAGATCAACTGAACATGTTAAGTAAATGAATGAATTTGAGTCAGACCTGGTTTAGTGAATTGAAATCAGGACACAGGAGACATGTTGTGGTTGAACTTTGTATTATCAGAAGGTCCAAGTTGATTGTTTTTCTTTTTCACCTGTTAATCAAGAAAAGAGATAAATGTTGATAATTTAGAGGGTAAAATAGGTATTTCGGCCACCGAAAGTTTGAGAAATCTAATTGTGTTTACCGGATAATTTTGAATAGTTGTGTGACCATCTGAGTAATGGACTCCTCCTTTCTGAATGTATATCCTATCTAGAGGCGGACCTATGTTGTATAGAGAGGGTCACTGGCACCCAAAAAGTTCATCAAAAATTTCATGTAAACATATGTACATGGCTTTAAAAAAAATAGTGATATACTAGTAGTGACATATACCAAACAGATTTTAGTTGGGGAAAAGGCCAAATATACACATCTACTTTAATATATTGTCTGCATTTAACCTCTGTTATACTATCGGGCCAAATTTACCCCTACAATCAACAAACTTTTAAAAATACCCCTTGATCTGTTAAGTAATCCAAAATCTCCCAAATTCCTTTTATTTAAATCACCTGTTGTTCTTCTTGGTCCATTATTTTAATTTCAAAAATTACTATTAATGTGAATGCTAAAGTTACTAGACAATGCAAATTATTCATAATTTTTTTTTATTACCAATGCACCCATTTCTCTTTTTGTAATAAACAAAATTGGTTTAAAATTTTATTTATTTTTCAATCATATACATACCGTAGAATTTAGTGGGTCTATTTATTATGTATTATATGCATAGATCATCATGTATGTTCATGTATATTCAAATATATTTTGTCATTGCCTAGTTAGTATAGAGTTCGATCGACTAACTTAAGAGTGCAAAATGTGTAGCATTTAATTAAAGCAAAGTTGAATTAGGCAATGTAAAGCCTCCGAGGAACTTCAACTTCAATCACTAGTACTTGCAAAGTCTCATACATTTGGTTCAATAAATTCATTAAAATTTGAATGTTGTAAATACTTTTAGAATTTTAAAAAACTACCTAATTTATATTTTTTAATTTACTATACTTTGTTTATTCAGTTGTATTATCTAATATTTTTTTCTCTTATTTGTTTTCTCTAATTCAGAAAGCAGGTAAATGTCAATTATTTCAAAAATAGTGGATCAAGAAGAACAACAAGTGATTTAAATAAAAGGAATTTGAGAAATTTTGAATTACTTAACTGATCAACGGGTATTTTTAAAAGTTTGCTGATTGTAAGAGTAAATTTGGCCCGATAATATAACGAAAGTTAAATATAAATAATATATGAAAGTAGAGAGATATATTTGGCAATTTTCCCTTCTAGTTGAATACAAAAGTATACTCACAACCTTTAAATCTTGGCCAGCCTATGTCTTGTCATCGCCTTGGATTATGGATACAACAATCATTAAAAATAAGAAAAAAAGAGTTGACATTTTCTCATCATTGCTTGAAAAGGTACTTCTTTAAGATACTAAATTATCTAGGATTATTCTATGTATTAATTGACTCATTTTAGTATTACGGCACCAGCATTTTCTAAACATTGATGAGGTGGAAAATACCCAACTTGATAGTATTTTCTCATCATTGTCTCGGAAAAATATTACAGTAAACTGTATTTAGGAGATGACTTCATGTTCATCTTTCTATAGTTTAATGCTAAGTCCTCCAAAAATATTGAAAACAGACACACTTTAATATTCTATATAGTATTTCGCATTCAGCTCCTTTTATTTATTCTAACTTTAGGTACGCCTAACTTTTTGTTTATTTGGACTGCGTTTAAACAAATAATATCACCTATCATAGTCACATATAGGGAGAAGCAGAAACTGAATCACTGGAAGCAGGAGCGGAGCTAGAGTGCCGAGAACGGGTTCGGCAACCCAATAACTTAGAATAATTAGATTTCAGTATCTATAAGCTTTAAATTTTGGCAACCCAATAATTTAGAATAATTAGACTTCAGTATTTATAAGCTTGAAATCATGGCTGCGCCTCTGACAACGTTATTCAGATGCCAGATTAAACCAGATTCTCCAAATAATATATATACTCATCTTGCAACATTTTAAAAAGGTTGGTAAAAATATGGCGTGTAAGTCAAGGTAAACTTTGCCTTCTATTAAAAAACGTAAGAACTCATAGCAAGTAGAAATAAACATAGTTTCTTCTCTCAAGTTGACTTGTAGCTAACTATGGAAAATTCAGTAAGTCATGTTGATGAAGTAGCAGTGCAGTCGTCTTCTGGTCGAAAGAACGGTGGATGGATAACTTTCCCCTTTATTATAGGTATGTCCCATTGTCTCTTTGTCCTTTGGTTAAGAGTCGAATTTAGGATTTAGAGTTTGTATATTCTTGAATGGCACGGTCAATTATATGTATACATCTTTCCCTTTATTATAGGTTGTATTGGTGTGATCTACAAGTCACAGGTTCAGGTCGTAGAAGCAGCTACTAATACTTGCATTAAGGTAGGTTGTGGGCAGTCTCTGAGGAGTTTCTAGTATCTTTCTCAAGCTTGACGAAGAGTCTCACCATGTCATTGTTGAAACCCAGTGCCTTTGTCTTCTTAGTGAAAAAAACTTGATTAAGAATTTTCATGTCATTATCATCCCAAGTGTAGATCGAGCTTGGGGGCTCTTTGTTTAACCATTCCTTTGCTTCCCCCATTAGAGAAAAGGGAAACAAAGTTAGTCTGACATCGTCCTTGGAGACGTTCGGATAGTTGTATGTATCCGTAATCTCCAAAAAAAATTTGGATATGCCTTTGGGGATCTTCAATTGACAACCCCACAAATAGCTCTGTGGATTGAATCAGTTGCACCATGTAATGTTTCAGCTCAAAGTGCCCAGTTATATCAAGCTTCACGATAGCCTGAGTCATATTAGTGAGACTAGACCGTGCGGCTTCAATCACCGGCCTTTCTTTATTCTCTGCCATCTCGATTGGATATGGTTGGACTACAATGCAACTCTGCAATTCTTGCTCTTTTTTCTGCCTCCCTCCTTAATTGTGGAAGAGTCTTTAAAATTTAGGATCAGGAAGAGGAAGGTTGTTCAAATTGTTGCTTCTTCTTAGCATTCAAGGTGAACACCTGTAGAGTCAGAAACAGTCAAACAAATTAACACTCGAACAAAAATAAATAAAAGCGTATTTCAGACAAATAGTTAATTTCTATATCCCCGGCAACATCGCCAAAAGCGCGTTGGGTCCAAACGCACACACAAGTATACGTGGTCGACAAGTAATAAAGTGATAAGAAAGTATCATTCCCACGAGGATTTATGATTAACTATTGTCCAATCCAAGCTATTTATAAATTTAATGCTCAATTGAGTGTGAAGAAGATGATTGTGATTTTTGTAACTAAATTACTACGAACTAATAAGCAAGTAAGAAAATAAGATCGCAAGTGGAGCAAACAACACTTAGAAAAAATTATGGGATTAACGTCTCTCCTATTGCGTTTTTCCGGTTGATGTAATCACTTGACTTATCTAATATGTTGATTAACATAGTTTATTATGATCGCAAATTTCTTTCGACGCTTCGCTCGCCTATTCAAGCCACCCTAAGACTATATGTCTATAGAATCAAACTTGACAAAAACACATATATATTTCCTAGAAAAAATAATCAAGTAAGACAACTAGAATATATCTATCCTAATCGCGCGTGAATCTATTCTCCAATGTCCGAATTCAAGAACTTACTCTACTCAATCCTATATGCAATCTATAGTTTTCACTTTCAAGTTCAACTATAAATTCGTAAATAGTACTCTATTGTTAGCTACGCAATAGAATAATTAAGTGCAAGATTGAATAAACAAATTAGTATGATAAAATCAAGCAAAACAATCAACCGTCAAATTACTATAGTCAAGAACGACCCATAACCCTAGAATAATGAGGTTCTTAGCCACTCATGTTCATAACAATAATCAAAATATTGTTTTCAAACATAATAGCTATGAATACTAAATGAAGGATGGAAGAATTGATGACAATCGTGCTCCTGAGGGTTTCGTACTTGTATTTTTCTCTCAAAGTGGTGTCTCCCCCTCCAAAATAGATTTATAACTTGCTTTTATACGAGTTGGGGCGTCTTGGGTCGAAATAACCAAGTCCCGAACGAAATAGGACAAGTTCCTGTCACCCAGCACCCAGGGTAGCGTGCGGCGCTAGCCCTGGCGCTGGGAATTCTGAAAACTGCGCCACAGATAATGCCCCACACTACCCTGGGTGTTACACTGTCCAAATTTTTCACTTTGTTCCCTTTTTGCTTCAAATCGTGCACCTTCGTCCCACATTATCTCCGGATGACTTCTACACATAAAAATACCACGAACTAACAAATTATTACATTACACATCCGAAATTTATGAAACATGAGTAAAATGCGAGGCAATATGCTTATAAATATACATACTTTAAGCCGAATATCACTTATGGTGGAGTCTTGGCGACTGAGAATAGGTAGATCACACCACCTCCAAGGACAAAAGGATGCTATTGTTCCATTATCAGTCTTTTGGCTATTGCCACAGCTAGCTTTGAATGGAATCGAAGAAGGATTCCATTTTCCAGGACATATCGCGTTTTTTTACCAAGATTTTCCAACATCATTGAAGAACACCTCTACTGCAATGGTCTCATTGTTTATTGGCATCGCGTTCTATTTGGGGAACGTGTTGATTGATCTGGTTCAAAGACAATCAACCATGACAATATCAATGATGGAAGAATGGACAATGTCTTCTGGCTCTTCATTTATTTCCTTGTGGTTGCTTCCTTTTACAAGTACAAAAATATGGACGACAAACCAAATGATATGCCCAGTAAATGAAAGGAGTACTTATTAGTATAATTTAAGAAGCATATACATCTGTCATAGTGTGAAATATTGTGCTTTATTCAGTTATACATGAGTTGATAAGCTCTTAGGAAAGAGAGCAAATGAGTTCTTTAAATAAGTGAGAAAATACAGGCAAAAGGGCGTAAATTGGTGCAAAATTATCGGTTAGCAACTTTGTTGCTGTGCAATGTCAAAATAGATAATGCAAGATAAGATAATAGCTTTGGACTTGAGTTGACTCCAGATAATGAAGTCCACAGAACTACAAGCACATATACCAAGTAAATGATGGATTCTGAAAAGGAACAAACTTTCAAGATTAAACCATTCTCTTATACTTTGGCCAGGACAGGATAGAAGAATTTACAGATGAACTATTCAATTTGATTTAAGTGGCTACAGATTACACCACCCACTTATTAACCATGTTTGCTGGAACATGGCAGCAAGCACCAACTTTAAAGAAAGATGTTTCCCTGAACATGTGAATGCTCAACCACTATAAGATGCATGAACTGACCGAGCCATGATAGGAGCAAAAATGGCCCTCAGCGAGGACACGAAGTAAAACAGAAAAAGAAAATTGTGCTGGCGGATAAGAAACATATGGACTAGCTAATGCTGCATTCGGAATTTTCTCCCTCCTCACCATCTGAGAATCCTAACACAAAAGCGCCTCCCTCTTCATCCTCGTCACTATCAACATCCTCCGAATTTTCTCGTCTCTCAATATAAGCCAGTGCTTGCCTCCTGTGCAGACGTAAAACATGCATTATCATGTCTGGGGTGAGTGTAACCCTTGAGTGGTCCTCTCGGCCTCGCCTATTAGCTTCCATTATCTGCTTAGATCAAGACAAAGTGGAGAAATCATAAGTCATCAGGTATTAGACAAACATGAAAACTTTAACAGAAGTACTAGGATTTGCACCTCTTGAACATCAGGAGGCAAAGGAGTAACATCTTTGGATGTGGGAGCCCAAATCTTTATGGTCTTTTCTATTCCACATGTAGCAAGAACAGGGATACAGGGATGGGGCTTAAGCTGATTTACAATGTGCCTATCACCGACCATCAATCGGACAAGCTTGGCGTCCTTTTTCTTCCAGATAAATATATGCCCACAATCAGACCCGGTCAATACATATTCATCATTCGGACCAAAGAAACTCACTCCTTTAACTGTCTGTGAATTTCTGTGTCCTGAATAAACCTGTGGTTTTTCCAGCTTGTCCAAGTCTTCACCTTGCAAAGACAAAGGAGCCGGACTCAATCCCATGTTCTTCTGAAACAAGTATATCAGTTCGTCATTGTATGAAACCAGCAATTCACTTGTGTTTGAGTAAGTCAGTGCTGTAATATGAACATCATTTGTCTTAATCAGGTGATGAGGACAAAATGTGTTGATTGGCCTATCCGAACTGGTTCTTGCATCCATTTGGTACATTCTGATGTCATATACACGCGCATATTCATCGGAACCTCCTACAGCAAAGTAGTTAGGATTTCTTGGGTCTATCACAATGCCATTCAACCTTATGCTGCTCGAGTGTTTATTGTTTTCCGCAAATGACGAGCAACGTAAAAGCTTTGAGGAAGAATTACTGCGCAGATCATACTGCACAATAATGCAAGTCACGGCAAAATAACATGAAAAGAGAACAATGTAACAAGTAAAGAAGCGCGTGGCGACCTACGTGTTGAACAAAACCATCTTCACCGCAGCTATAAAGTATGTAGGGACTTCCTGGTTCCACAGCAAGCTTATGTACACGACCTTGGTGCTTTCCTACTCTTTTTGTTTCTACCCGACCATTCTCCAGCAATAAACCAAGCCTCACCTGCAGCAGTGCTTGCAATACGTTGAAAATAAGCACATAGGAGTCAGAGCCACAATCATCTTCTTTTGCCTTTGTCAAATTAGAGATATGAAGCAGCAGACTCAGCAGGTCTAAAGTATCGCTTCATTATACAGAAACTACAGCTGAATGTATATATATGCAGATAACAAATGTGTGTAAAATTATACTTGGACAAAAGAAAATGTCGCATTTAAATACTATTGCCAGAACCATTCAATAAAGCATTTGCTCTATGTTTTCTGTCTCGCATGTTCCATATATTATAGTGCGTAAGATGGCAAACATACCTGACCATCAGCGGATGCAGTTACTATTTTACGATCATCCGTGAAGGGCATGAACTTTGCCTGGAATATATTGTCCATGTGACCTGATGGATAAGACAACTTTGAGGTTCTCGTTGCCCAGTCCCATTGTATCACTCTTCTATCATCAGAACCCGAGACAAGAACATCACCGGTGGCATTGAAGTCTATTGTGTTTACACATCCTTCATGACCAGTTAACTTGCCATATAAATCCAGTCGCTTGACCATAGCCTGACCCACAATTATACAAAAGGAACTCTCTCAGTGGCTCACAATGTATGTTCATGAATTTGCAAACACCTTAGACAAAGCAGAATAAAATTTCACCTAGATTTTGAATTACCTTCACATCAACGTGAAATTTTTTGCATATAAAAGTACGACATTACACGAACATAAGTAGCAGCAGATACTGTCATTAAAGCATATGAAAGGCATAGTTATTTATTTATCCTTTTGATTTTTATTTTTTTTTATAAGGTTATTTAAAGATAAATAGTATCAATATTTATCTTCAGTATTTATCGAATAAATTACCTCATGGATCTGAATTACCTTCACATTAAATGTTAAAACTTTGCATATTAAAGTATGACTTTTATACGAAAAATAGCAGTAACAGAGACTAGATCATTACAGAGTATGAAAGGCGTCATTATTTATCTATATTGGCATACTGTAAGTCACCAAAATCTCACATCAGATATCGCTATCGGGAAGGAAACTGATTAAACAAACTCAAAATTCTAGTCCCCAAGTCCCCAAATATTCTGAAATTCATAGAGAAAAAAAAACCTTAAGTCCATTCTACTAAATGCTAGGTTGTTAGAAAGTGGCAACTAACAATAAACTTGTCAGTGTCAATCCCCAAAAAAAAAATTGTAGGTAATAATCTAGTTGAAGTTTTAATGCTTGATGGAATACTTAATATGTCACCATTACATCAGTTAGCCCTCATCTCTGAGCTAGTTGAATCAGTTATAATAGTCATCTGTAAGAGATGAGTTTAAATGGATTTTTATTTAATGTGTTTTGCTTGTTGCTTTATTTTTACCGTTCCTTAAGCGATATATCGGAAACAACCTCTCCGCATCTGACTTTATGGGTAGGGGTAAGACTGCGTACACACTAACCTACCCAGACCTCACATGTGTCATTTAGCTGGGTTTGTTATTGTTTGTTGTACAGAGCCGACTGGGTTTGTTATTGTTTGTTGTACAGAGCCGACCCAACTTGTTTGGGACTGAGTCGTAGTTGTTGTTTTGTTAGTAGTAGTAGTAGTATTAGTAAGTAGAGTTCAAGTGCTACCTGACCATACTAAAAAAAAAGAATTTGATCAAACTAGAGAAAGTATTCATATACAGTTCAATCAGCGGGAAAAATCACATTTTTTCGCTCCCATAAGACCCAATAACAAAAAAAGAATCAGACCCAAAATAACAAATCCAAAGATATGATGATTTTAGCTGAAATAAAAGTGGGGGAATAAATCAAACCTCAGAAGCAGAAATTCGGCGAGAGAATTTTCTGGGCTGAGAAAACCCAATTTCTCTTTTATAAAACTCCATTAAATCATCTCCACCAGAAACCTTGTACACCTTCTCCATCTCTCCTTAATCAATCTACTGTGTATAACTCCTTTTCTACTATAGAAATTGAAGTTTTGGGATTTGGTAGAGTAGAAATTACTAAAACCATGACATTTTCTTAAAAGCTAGTAAGAAATTATTATATGTATTTGTGTTAAGTGTTTGCTTTTTTTTAAAAAAAAAAAGAGAAACAGCAAAAGTTGTAACAGTAGGGGACGCTTGGATAATTGACACATTGCATTTGCAGGTATGAGACACGCCTAGATTTTTGAGATAACATCTCCATTTTACACCAAATTTCAGTGTAGTTTTTCAGGATACCACTGGTTTCGTTTGCCTTTCGGTGGTATTCAACAGTTTTCATACGACGTCGTACGCTTTCTCCATCTTTCTTTTTTTTGTTTGTTTAATTAATACTTCATCTTATCTCAAATATTACTGGTTTTGATCAACTTAATTTGTTCCCAATATTTAAGGTTAAGAAATAAGAAGCATACTTTTTATTGTAAATTAAATGAGGCATGGGAGAGAGATAAAGGTATTTTAGACAAAATTTTTATATAATTAAAGCTATTAAATTCAAGGTGTATAAAAAGTTTAAAATATGAATGGTACGGACAGAGGATAATTAATTTAGAATTGCATGAGCATGTGAAATTTTTTTGTCTTCTAGTTGGACATTTCCTATTTTTTGTTAATTAAGTTAAATAAATTGTCTAAAAATTTAAAAAAATAATTGTTATATAGTCTTTAGATATATCCTCGAAAAATTTAAATTTATTTCCTTTAATAAATTATCCAAAGTAGCCTGCATCTCTTAAAGCAGAAGAAAAGAAAATCATTATTATATTAATTTAAAAAATAATCTTCTAAAGTGTGATTAGGATGGAATATTTAAAGTGGACTATCTCCACTTCCTTTCCACTTGCTTCGTGGGATTCCTAGTGGAATTTATCCAATTAATCTTCCTGGCCTTCCCAAACATATTTTTGATACGAAATAAACCTCTCGCAATAGAGAAAAGATCAAAAGTTTGTCCCTTCGATCACCCTCCCTTAAACCCGAATTAATCGAGAGATTAACCTATACTATATTTTTTTTAAATCGAAACCCTAACTAAAGATGGAATTCTATAACTAAACAATTCAGTTGAGAACTCGTGACTAGTTCAAGGTCAACTAATGATTTGATATATATATATATATACCAACATGATTTACATGGCTTTTGCCTTGGTTTTACCATTTGTTTTTATTCTCTGTTTCATAATTTTTCATGTAGTAGACTAGTACCTTCAAGTAACGTTATAATCCTAAGCAATGAATCATTATTTTTCAAGTTCTCCAATATAAGACGCTTCTAACACTATAAGCTACATTTAAAATCGGTATGTAAATCTTAGCACGCCTAACAATATTGGACCTAAAATAATATACCGACATTAATGAAACTTAATCACAACTAATTACTATCACCTTTATAAATTTGTCTTCTATTGTGCTCTATATTCTATATCAACGAAGTTGTGATTATTCAAATTAAGAAAAAATTTTAGAGAGTTCAAATATGCAAATCGTAATAAAGAATGAGATTTTAGGCAAATAGTTTGAACTCCCTAAAAGTTCCTCACATTGGAAAAGTGGTAAAAAGCCAGAGAGTATCAGTTTCGAACATTTTGGCGAAAACGTCATTTTAGAAAGAAAAGGGAAGTACATCGGCGGTCTCTAGATTTGTTAATCATAAATCTATTTACAAATCAATCACGTGTCTATGTCTCATCTACGAACGTTTAATTCAAGAATCCTTAAGTTAAAAGATAGAGTGAAATATTCGGAAAGTTAATGAAAGAGACGCCTAGTTGATAAATTTATTTGAGAAATATATATTTTTAGTTGTTCCGAAAAATAATAGCCAATAATNATATATATATATATACTTTTTTGATTCACAAATGCAATTGGTTTTGGTCAATCGCTCAATTTTGTATGTTGGCTCAATTTATTTCTCAGAAACACACTCGTGTTACGAGAGAAAAGTGGCACACTCCTGTCAATTTCCATTGTGCCCCTATTCTTTTTTTAAAAAAAAAAAACTCGACAAGAGGTGGTTAAATTAGACTGTAAAAAATGAATATTCATCGAATTTATTATTTCTGCATTTATTATTCAGATATCTAGTTTCTGAAGAAGTATCAAATGAGAATCTAAATGCACAAGCAGAAAATTTCAATTTCTGAGTCATGGACCTCATTAGCGAGCTAGAATATGTTTGATCCCATGAAAAATAAGAAAAGCTAATACAGTAGTTATTTAATTCAAATCTACTAAATTTGACCATTTCATTTATCAAAGTTTGGCGATTCCAAAAAAGGAAATTCAAAGAGAAAATTCTATTATTACAACAATCTGTAGAGACTCACTAAATGTATACAAGGAGCATGTATTTGCTGATTCTGTAAATTTGCCTCCACAAAAGAATGAGACACCCTTAAGATAAATGCTATATAAAGACTTCCCTCTTTACAATTAACTTATTCGTGTTTGAAAAACAATATGTAAAGGATTTATAAAGAAAAATTTACAGATCTCTTCTTTAACAACTAACTATGGCCATAAGCAGAGCCCAGTTTCATACCACTATACTGAAAGATTATGTGTGCCAACTTTACAATTCTATGCTAAAACCAGCTGCTTCATCAACAGAAAGTGCGCAATAATAGTCAGCCAAAATTGGGTCCTTCGAAAATCTTTTCCCTGGATATAGAAACTCCTCTTTTCTGTGGAATTCCCCGGAAAAAAATAAGGGAAAATAAAGGTTATGTACTAATCCTCATCATCTGCTAATGCAGCAAAAGAGAATGGCTTGAACTTATAACCATCGCCGTGATAGAACTTGTTTTGGAATTCCACCCAATGAAGACGCAATGCATGAAGGAATGCGCTAAGAGTCTCCATCATGAGTAGTATAAAGGTTGTGGCGAAGGCGAATACTGCCAGCCCAATTAGCCGTATGATCAGGCTATCATACCTGCAATTATTAAGCATCTAGTCCTCAGGTACATTTGATAGCTATGATGTCGAGGGCAAAATGTTAAACAACACAATCAATTTGTACAGCCATATTTTAGCTATGGTGCATAAAACAAACCACTACCATCATAGTACACATGAGGAAGTGCTCTTGCCCTCCCCATTCTCCCACAACTTGCCCCACCCTATGTTGCGTGGACTCTCCAAAATACTGCCGCACCCCTGTCGGATCCTCCAACAATATACTACTTTTGGAGGATCCGACATACACCCGGCAACATTTTCGGAGAGTCCGAGCAACATAGGCCCCACCCCCCTTCCAAGAGAAAAACAAAATTAGAGAGACACAAGGGCAAGAAGAAGCACTGATGTGGTCTTCACTGTCATGTCATTTCATTAGAAAATGCCACAACATTCACCTAAAAAGGAAAAAGATTTCAACAAAATTGTATATCAATCAATTCATGGTAGAAGAGAGACCTAGTTTTAGGTACCAAAAGAATAAGAAAGCCTTTTGATTCCAAATCAAGTTAGTACTCAATTACGGAATAAATGTGCTTCCTATTGATGCATAGAAGTACCTCACGCACTGACACACATACAGGAGCATGCATATTGTCTAGATAAAGAACCTTGATGCATTGGTCCAGTCACCACACATCATAATAATATATAAGCACCAGATATCATGGCATTGCACAGGACTGTGCATATTGTCTAGACAATTTTTTAATTGTTTGCATACATATATTGCTATAATTAAAAGCGGAGAATATTTTAAAGAGCTATTTTTAGGCAAAATAGAAAAGAGATATATCTAGGACATAGCGGGTTAAAGTTAAGATACTGGCGTTTAGTAGAGACCAAAGCAGAATAACAAATTTAGCCCTAGGATTTGTAAGTTTATAGTGGAACATGGTAGCAAATATGCATTTAGAACCTGAGCAGAGACCATGGTAATTACACTAGCTTTATTAATGGTACGAATGATGCATTGTCCATTTTTCATGCTTCCACTTTTCACCATAGTCTAAATAAATGCCAATTTTACCTCTCCTCTGTGACTTCCTTCAATGAGTACAAGACAGCAGATATTCTTGTACACAAAATACTTCAGTATAAGACTAAGAATAGTTTGGATGAGATGTTGCTAAACAGATAGAGCCATTGCATAAGAGAACTGAGCTAGTTCCGAGGGAGTTACTTGTTCTACCTCCAAATCCATACTATTGCAAAGAAAATTTGAGTAACCAAATGTATTCACCAGATTCATGATTCAACAACTTGACATTTTAACAGAAGTAAACTTCGAACTTTACTATTAACATCCATGAAGACACTAAGCGATGTCTAAACAAGGAAATTCTGAACAGCAAAAAAGCTAAAAGTCGTGGAATCTTACCCCCAAGCAAGGAGGAGAACTTTCTCATAGAACACAGTAGACAATTCAGAATGAGCCAAACTGCACCAACATCACAGATATCAATTTGGTAGAAACGTAAAACAAGTTGCTGTTAATGACAAAAAAAAAACAAGTAAAAATGAAGGATATACCTCAAAGCCCACAGCCGAAGGTATGATGCAGTGTTAGAGACGGCACCCAGAACAAACTCAATAGAGTGTATCATTTGATGCACAAAAACCTCACTAAAATTGAACTCCTCATGGTGGTGTTGCCTCGCAGAGTCTGGTTCCTCATAAGTATCCACCTCAGATGTTCCAAGAAGGCCATAAGTTCCGCCTTGAAATCTCTGAGAATCATAATAAGGTAGCCCAAATAACCATAAGAAAAATGTCAAAAGAAAAGACAAACACTTCTGGTTTGATGATTAAAAAAATTATTATATAGCCAAAATTGAATAAACCAGTCTTGCCCAAGTAAACTTTGGGAGGATTGGATCATGACCCTTTTAGTGACTCAACTTGTTTTAATTCAATTTAGTCAATCTGCCCATTGGGAACCCTAAATTCCAAACCTCTCCTCTTCTCTACAAAAGAATTCCCTCCACTCAACGACCACAAACTGACTCTTAGGAGAAACAAGATTACATCCTCAATGATTCCATTACTTGTGCCCTTTTAAAAGAAAATTGATTATCCATTCCTTTATACTTTCCTCTAGATCATCAAGATAGTACATTATTCAATTCATTGTGAAGGGTGAGAAAGCAAAAGCAACCAAATGTACTTACCTCGGTGTAAAGTCTCTTCAAAATAAAAGGTTTTGGGAAAAGCATCCATGGAACAGCAACAAGTGCTAAAAGCAGCAATACTACCTGCAATAATAATTGTTAAACAAAGAAGCAAGGGACGAGAGATTTTCAAGGGTTTGTTCCATTTATGGATTGTGGGTGAGGGGGGATTATGGATGCTAAGATAATCAATTGTTTGGTTGTCTATGTAGAGTTCGATTATGGATGAAATAATAAAATCCTCCCACCCCCGCAACCCACCCCCAAGTACTGGATAAATTATCCCTAGGGAAGAAGCAAACAAAAGTTATCCTATGATATCAAATGGTTTTTTTTTACTCCACAGATTTCTCTCTCCCCTTCCACCCACACACTGCCACCAACCTTTTCTTTATTTTCTTGTTTGTATTGCTTTTAATTAATGTCGAATAGCTTTTAACAAATATACAGAGATACATTATCATGACTAATTCTTCATTTCAAATTAATCCTTATTCTATAAGTTATTTAATGCATTTATGCCAAGGAAATTCGTCGCAGAGATTTAAAATCCTTGTACCAAACATGGGACACAAGCGTTACAATCTTATCCATATTCCATTAATTAACATCATATCCTACAATGTAATCCGGTGGTATTAAAGTTTTACCTTATCACGTCTGCAGATCAAATGAACCCTAAGAGCAGAAGATTAGAAAGAGATGCAATGGCACATACCTGAAGCACACTCTGGCCCCAAAACAACTGGTTTTCACCAAGAGCCTCGAAAGGACTTAGGAACATATAAATCATAACATGGTAGAGATCTGCCTGAGATCCAGTGCACCATTTAACAACAATGAGGAGAGACAGGTACCCAAAAAGGCTGTTGAGAAAGATCACTTGTGGCACAAACTGATACCTGATAACAAATCAATGGAATAAATAACTTCAACGAGAAAACCATCAAAAGGGGACAGAAGAAAAGGGAATACGCACTTAATATCAAGCGTGTTGTTGAAGAAACGTGCGTTGAAGTAACTTAATATAATTCCGAGGTTCATCTGTGCCACACCCAACAAAATAGACATCTTCATCTTAAGGGAGTTCAAGAAAGGAAGCTCCGAACGGCTACCTCTCCAGCTTGGATCCACACCAAAAGGATAAGGATCACTGTATTTTATTAAACCGACTGTATATGCGTCACTGTAAATACAAACATCAAAATCCCAGTTAAAAAATTGCAAATGTAAAAAGGCTAGCTGGAAACGATGCATTAAAATCTAACTCAAGCTATACGTGCATTCAACGATTGGGAGGCAAGAGTAAGGTGCCAGTATAGACGAACGATATGTAACCGTCATAAACGTTATTTTGTTTTATCTAGTAACCATCATAAACATTATTTGAGGAGCAATATCTGAATATGTCCAAGAAATATGGAGAAAATGATTGTTTGATTGCATTACTACAGTGTCTTGTACCTGACCGGAAAGCAGTGGGGCTACTTAAAAATATGTAGAAATCAAATAGAAACTTAGCCAATCTTCACCGTAAGTACATAACAATATAAGAAGCCTGACTAAGAAAATCCCAAAAACCAAGCGATTGAGGCATTAACCTGACTCTGAGATCAAATTATTAGAAACATCCAAAGAACCTCGACTACTTGTAGTTATAAGTAACCTGTTATGGTCGTAATGAATTGAAGGCTTAATCACAAAATCAAAAACAGATTTTAAATCCTGCGCAGAAGTGGAAACAAAAGCTACTCTTCCCCATCTAGAACCCCCGAAACCCCAAACAAATAAATAAAAGAAGAAAGAATAGTTTATTTCTCATCTAGGATTTAATAACATAACTTAAAGTGTAGCCAAAGCAACCACTTCTTCGCTCTTATTTACATAGTTGAAAATGTCCTTTGCTATCCTTTTAAAGGTCTGGGCGAGGAGGCTTTTTTTAATCAAGTAATAAGGTCTGGGTGAGGGAGCTTAAAAAATGCAAATCACAGTCTTGACCAGAAGCACATAAGAGATTGCATTATCATTACTTTTGACAAATCACAAAGCGAAGTACTCTAAATGGAAATTTAACAAGGTTATAATTCATACCTGCATGAAGCATCTCGGCATTTGTATGCAGAGCCACCAAATATGTGAAACGGAACAGAGAAGAATTCATTATATATCAAGCCACAGTAAATTGAGAATATTGACATTAAGAGGAGTACATAGCGACCGCCAAAGAGCATCTCCATAAAGCTGCCCAGTTTCTGCCAGAAAATTTTATTTGATCACATAAGGAATATATAATTGCATAATTACTGATGTTAAGTACTCCAAGAGAGAGGTTGAAACTATGAGAGGACATACTTGAGAGCTAAGCTTGCTTTCCTTAGAAATAAGAACTAATGCTCCCAACAGCAAGCAAATTCCATGACCCCAATCTCCAAACATCACCGCGAAAAGGAAAGGGAATGTAACAATGGTGTAAACAGCAGGATTTGCCTCCTGGTATTTAGCAACACTGTCAATGTAGACATTAGTAAGTGCTTTTGTTTTCAGAAGCAACAGAAGACATGTATATTTCAATTTGACAAAAAAAAAATAGATTCTACACTTGATCTTAACCAAACAGGCCAGAAAGGTATAAGAGATGGAAAATGATTTTTCATATATGATTTAAGGAAAACAAATGAAAATGAAAATTTTATTTGAAGAGCTGAAGCATCCCAAATTAATAGCATTACACGTAAAAAGAACAAAGAAAGGGGAGAAAACAGGACTCTCTGTTTTAAGTATATATCATTTTGCCTCAGGCATAATAAACACCTTACTTCAAATGTCAGTGTCTGAACTAAAGGAAAAGGAGGAAAAAAAAATTCCAGCCATATACGCATCAAAATCAGTAACACTCTAAAGGAGATGACGTGACCCATGAGTCCATAAATGACTGAATCATATAGACACACATAAACCAAGTTAAATCAATTTCAGATGGACAAGCTGCTGCCACTAGATTCGACAAGGAATCATGTAAAGAAGAATGTCAACGATTCTATCCCCAGAACTTAACAGCATCACCTAACTCATTACATTGTAAATCAGTTTCGCAGATAACTAAATGCTACTATACATTTACTTACCCATACGCATCTACAATTTCTTGATATGCATTTGTGAAACGGTTTGTCCTGAAGTATGTTGGAGGTGAATCTACAGCACCCATCACATGAAATACAATTCCCACTTGTGAGTTGCTATCAATTGTCGCACGTTGCAAAGCCTCTTGTATCTAACGTGTCAAAAGCATGTACGTGGTAATACTATCATAAATAATGCATATGGAAACAGTATATGTAAATGCTAACATAAATAACATAAAAGAAGAGTACCTTAGTCTTTGCAAATATTGGACACCAGCCCTCTCCAACTAGACACTTCTTTGTGACATCAAAATTCAGCATATTTAATGTATCATAAACAGCCTTTTCCCTTCTAACCTAGAAAAAAGAGTTAGAGCATTCAACTCGTATTTCAGGGTCACATAAAGACTTGCTCTCACAAGCCACTAATTAAACTATATTATAAAAGTGACAACTTATACTGTTGTCGTCACTCTTACCATGTTCATCCATTTTGTGAGGTGAAATCCAATAGACGTTAAAGCTTTATCTCGATGACGTAATCCAACATCCAGAGTGGTTTCCAATTCAGATAGATGAGACAAAACCTGCACTCAAGATGTTATCCCACTAGTCTTACTTTAGGACAGGGCAGTTGAAAATGATTACAATCGATATAATATACGTACATAACAATATACAAAAGAGAGCTAGGGTTAGACTCATCGAACTGGTGCAATGTGAAAGCTACATCACATAGTGCTACTGCTAGTGATTGTACAACCAATATATTGGCCATTTTTCCATGTATACTTTGTTCGGTGCATAATATGACCTCAGATATACATTAAAACACAAAAGATACTAGACAGAAGAAAAAGAAATTGTTCCATATCCTGCTAGCAGCTAAGTTGCTCGGACTCGGGGGCGGGTGTCCAATACGGGTGCAGATCTAGAGGTCAGATCCTTCATGATCTAAATTTAAAGATTCGGGGGTACGGATCCAAGTACGGATACGGGTGCGGGGATTCGGCTAATTATAATTCAATTATTTAAAAATAGAGTTATAAAAATATGTTTAAATTATGAGACATGTGAAAAACTTACAAGGTATTCCGAGAAGGAGAAAATATTGAACAAGAGTAGAATTTTAGGAGATAAAAGGAAAAGGACTGACATAGAAATTTATATATACAAGGTATTCCATTTTCTTCCATATCACCCTAGCTTTTGATTTGTTTTCAAAAATCATAGTATCTGTCCCAAATTTCTCCGTTGATTTTGGTCAAAGTACCCAAAATCGGTTGACCAGATCCGACACGGATCCCACACCCATACCCACACCCACGTCGTGTCGACACGGGTGCGGCACTGAAAGTGAAGAGTCCGAGTAACTTAGGCTAGCAGTATATCCCAAAGTACACTGACTGGTTTAGTAAAACAAGTTCGTTCAATGATGATGTCTATGAAACTCTCTTCTAGTAATCAGAAAGATTGCATTAAAAAGTTAACCAACATACTTCTCGAGTTATTTGCCTCCTCTTGGTCATGTCTTCAGGAACAGGATAGCAATTAGCACCAAACGCCTCACATATTTTCAATATTTTTGTTCTCGCCTGCTCGCCCGAAAAGAATACTACGAAGACTATTTTCTCAACCTACAGAAGCAAAAATTGAGAGTTAACCACATAGTGTACTTGATAGTTAGCCATTTTCAATAAGCAAGGAGAAAAAGAAATAAGAATATGAATGGGAATTAGAGTATTGATGAAATCATACTAAAGTGAGAAGATAATTCATGGACAGTTTCCTTTATTAGGAAAAAGTTCTTAGTGCACCAGTGTACAGAACTATTTCCTGGCATTAACACAAGAACAATTTAGAAGAAAGAATGTAACCATTTCATTTGAGGTAGGATCCAAGATTTCTTCATCAGCAACTGCCTGGTGGAAAAGCATATTGCCCCTTGTTGCACGAAATAGCATTCTTTCAAATTGTAGAACTTTGGACTTGCAGATAATGCCACTAATAAATCTTACTCCAGATTGATTTGAAAGTTCTGGTTGCATCTCCTGAAGATTGAAAGAAACCTTATCTCAGATGCTTCATAGATACAGATAATCATTATCATGCACCGGATCAGTCTAACAGCAAGAAAGAATCAATTACCTGCTCAAGTAATGATGCTGTATCTGAATAGTTATGATTGGAGTACACGTTTTCATCTAATTCTGTCTCCTGAGCTGTTGTATGACTTCTACTTGAGACAAGGAAGTCACTAGCCTAAAATTTGCAGGGTTATAGTGAGCAGAAATGAGAATAGCTCTGAAAAGGCATATATTTCTCGACCATAAGAAAAAGTATGACTTTGGTACCTATTCTAGAACAGATTTGTCTATAAAGTTTGTTGAGTGGTTTGAAGTTTCAAACGCTTGAAGGAAACATAATTGGCAAGCACCATGTCAGGCATTAATAACACCAGATTAAGTATGAAAAACCAATTTCTCAACTAACAACGTTACTTGAGAAGCCATTAAAAGCTTAGCGCATAAATGCTGATTGATTAGAGCTAAAGCATTTAGAAATAAAAAACAGACCTCTGTCATGCTTTTTGAACTATAAAAGCATTACACCCTAATTATGGCTAAACAGTTCAATGCAAGGATAGAAGAAGCAAAATAGATGGACATTAATGCAAGCCAATACCTTGCACATGTATGCATAACAAATACATATGCATGACAGGCGTACACATAGTGATGAAATATCCAGAAAGCAGTATTAGTCAGACATGGACCAATTTCTCAAAATGTAAACGGAGCTCATTAATGCAACAGTAAGAAAGAGAATTTAAATTGTACCTTCTGTAATACCAGCTTAAACTCAAGCAACTCATTGTATGATTGCCTTAGCTTCTCGCTATTAGCATTCATTTCAATCAACTCATGTTCATGCTCTGCAAGTTGTATCTGAAATTCAGAATAGGTCTGCATGAGATTTACGAAAACCAAAAAAAGTATAAAAAGGAAAAATATCCAAAAGAAGAAGCATAAACACGATTTGGACAAGAAAGTAGGGTGTTCGTTTGTCAGCAAGAAGAAAAACACCTCCAGTTCTTCCAGTTCAATATCAGGTTGTGAAGCAGGACGCGGAGAAGGCAGCAGCCCAGCTTTTTGTATCTGATCTTTGAAAAATCGTAGTTTTCTTGACATCTCTGCGCATCTTTTTACCTATGAAAGATCATCCACGATTACAATGAAAAGATAATTATACACCACTGCACCATAAAATTCTGCAAATGCTTTTGATACTTCAGTAACTCCATACATATGTTAACCAAATTACATGCCAAATTCTGAGTCCAAGTTATTGACCTCCTCTTTGCCAGCAGAAACACTGAGGTATCACGCTGCTTTGGAAAATTAGTAGTCGTCAAGTACCTTAGGAAGGCAACTCAAATAGTAGAGTTCCCTTGAACTGCTTGAAAACTATTCAGTTCTTTTTTTAATATTTGCTAAGTGCAAAATCTGAATACTATTCACACTAGAATATGTTCAGAATAACCTTTAATTGGTCAATCAAAATATTACATCAAAATTTTAAAGCATATCCTTTTTAACAAATTTTGAAAAAGAAGTTTTCTGAAGAAAAAAAAAATAGAAAGAGACTAAAATGGATATAATAGACAAAAGAGGGGAGAATGGAGTCAAACAAGTGGAGAGATCAATGTAGTTGCTCTTATATGTTAGTTTATATCTTAGATGTTGAAGCTGGAAGCAGAGATGGGGACAAATATATGTTAGAACTTGAAGAATCAAGGTAGGTTGGCGTTTATATTTTAGCACTAATTATGCAACCAAAAAGGTGAAAACACCTATCTAGGGAGCTTCACTCTTTTCTCAGCACCAAAGGAATTTTAGCAATCAGATGTTTCATGTAACTAAGGTTGAATTTATAATATGAATTATCAATCACCATAGTAGCATCAATGCAGGATTATATGGAGGAGTTTATCTTAAAATCAGGTCAATCTTGAAGATAAAGAATAGCAACAACATTATTTACTTCAAACATTTTCAATATCCTACATATAACCTCAACATCACTGCATGCTACTATTACAATAACCTCAGTGTAACTTTACACTACCATTACAAGCTGAAATAGGACAAAGGTACTTCTTATCTTGACTTAAAGCAATTGACTTTCATCAACTCTCAAAGTTTTTCAGCAAAGTTAATAATGATTATGATTTGTCAAAAATACTGCTAACAATGATTAACAATTTAATAAATTAAGTTATTGACACAGACAAATTCCACTGAGGTAACAACATATAGAATATTCAACACAAAGATGTGATATTCACTATTAGTGTATACCTGGTTTACAAATGTTCTTTGAAAAGGACTCTTATCATCATTTAACTGCAAAAGGAAAACATAGATAGTGAGTTCGTTTCCCAGTTAACAATAACAAAGAAGGTGAAACAGACACAAAATACCAAACATTGTATTATAAGGCATAAGTAAAGACATCAATTTGCCACAACCAAAATCTAGTCAGAGAGATGAATAGTAATGACAGACTTATGGACTAAATCATGTGATTAGTAGTAAACCTGAAACATCAAGAATAAAGGAAAGGGCTATTCTACCCATCCTCCCCCCAACTCCAAAAGCAAAAACAAGCATAGAGAAATTTTCGTTACTTTAAGATATTGACTAAATCCATACAGACGTTGCACCAAGACAATTCAGTAGAAGGACATTACAGTCTGTTTTATTGAAATACACTTCATTTTGGCCCTTCAAGATCAAAACCTTTACTTTATGTAGTAAATATTTTATTAATGAAGGGAAACAAGCACCCGTATAACAACAACAACAACGACAACAACAACAACAACAACAAACCCAGTAGTTTCCCACAAGTGGGGTCTGGGGAGATGATCAAATTATTATCATGTAGTTTTCTTTTCTTTTTCTAAAAGGTTGGTTTTATCATGTACTTTTCTTGGTTAGCAACTTCTTAACAACAAACCATTTAGACAGAAAAAAACTAGAGTCTGTTTCACATAGATACCCAGATTTAAAGTTGAATCTATCTTTCAAATACTACTTCAAAAGAAAAAGCAACCCTGCCAACAACATTTCTTTGTTCGGAAGAAGCAGAGGCCAAAGAAGTAAGGGCGATTTGGAACAAAAGTTTGTACCCTGTCATAATTATCTTCCTGCAATACAAATAATGCATCTAATATCTAAAAATGAGTTGTTAGTTAGAGAGAAAATCAATTTATTCCTTGATGAAAATTTTGCGTAAACCAATTCCTTGGTATCTCTTTTCATTAGTATAATCAGAGGCAAACCCAAGAAATTTAAAATTCATTTATCTCCTTTGGAGATGCATTTCAGTAATTACGATAAGTATTACGCTAATAGGGATGTGTTTCGTCAAGCTTAGAGATCAAAAGAAAGTTCCAATATGTAGTCACTATTCCAGATGTGACAGTAGAAATCATCACAACTTGAAGGTTCGTAAGCTTTAAGCAGCTACGCTTTTTCAAACCAAATTCACAGGAAACAAAGTAAAAAGAATGCTGACTACTTCTCTTGTGCTCAGGCAAGATAGCAATTAACAATCTGTTCCAACTTAAGAGGCCTGATCACGAGTACAACCGAGGAAAAAGAGAAAGATCTCTCTTACAAGATCTTTTTGGACTCTAATATGTTATCATCTGCCATAACTCAACTTTACTGAGGGCAAAAGGTAAAGAGAACTACCTTATTTTACCATTTACAGCTGTTTCCATCTAGCTGACTTTGAACACTAAAACATTAGTTATATGTTTAGGAAGGTTGAAAGTTCTTGTTCAGATTAAAAGAATGGCAATGGTGAAGAGGCTTAAAGCATTTAAGGGCTTTGAGAGCATCAAAATCTGGTTATAGGTGGGTGGAGGGTGTTAACTTAATTACCAGCCCAAAAAGGATGAAGAAAAACTCTTGAGACACTTTTTTTTAAATAAGATGGGGTAAAATTTGATTAATAAAGTACCAAGATGGTACAACAGTTACACCAAAAAATAAGGCACGGACTATCTGACCGTTACATGCTTCTTCCTAAAATATCTAGGAAATGGTCAAGATATTGATCCATAACTCCCGAGACACTTGCTCCTAATCATCAGTCTTCTAATACTCCCCCCTCCATCCCAATTTATATGAACTCATTCCATTGCGATACCATTCTATTTATGTAGAACTTTCATAGCTTTCAAGAATTCCAATTAATTAAGCAATTCAACTTTTTACTTTGAATGTGATGTTTTCTCTATCAAAAGAAACTTCTTTTTATCAGTTTCTCTGTCAAACTAACTTAAACAGTATCCAATCAAATATCGTCATATAAAATAAAACTGAAGGAGTAGTGACGAAGACGAAGACTCTGAAAAAGATGAAAAAATTATTAAACACAATATCAACCAGATCTAGTAGCTAGAGGACTACTGCAAAGAAACTTAGTAGCCACCATTTCTAGCCATTTAAATCAGAATGTGATCAAAACTTATTCAACCTCAATCCCTTACTCACTCCAATCCCAATATTTAAGCTCACAACATATTGTACATATCAAGTCTAAATATTAAAAAAAAAAATTATTAAATCAATTCTTAATCACCAATTGCACCAACATGACAAGTCCTCTCTACTACCAAAGGCGGAGCCAGGATTTGAAACTTATGGGTTGGGGATTCTAGTTTTATTAAGTAAGTGGGTTCTAAATTAACAATATGTACATTTCAATTGATTTACAAATACAGGATTTAAACCAAAGTTACTGGGTTTGGCAGCGCCCGTAACTCAGACGCTAGCTCCGCCACTACCAACAAAGAATAAATTCATATCAATGTCATAACTAATGTTCTAAAATCCGAGCAAATACATAGAATGTTATTTTTCTCAATTTCAAATGAGAAGAACAAAGGACTGAATCTCAATGGATCATAGCAAAGGAACAATAATAACCAGCTTAATACATAAAATTAGCATACAAATAAATAAAGTTGGTGCGATTAATTGAATTTAAATAATCACATCAACAAAGAAACGAGAGAGAGGTATAGATCTGTACATCACGGAACTGAAGAAGGCCAAGTTGGCCAAGGTAAGTAATAGCAGGGTGAGCCGACTCAACAGGAATGATGAGCTGTACAAATGTCATATTTTCTGAACGCATCAGATCCATTGGAGGCAAATTGTCTATGTACTCCATTTTCCATACACTGAACAAAAATTAGTGTAGAGAGATCCTATCTAATTCTTCTTCAGATCTGATCACAGAAAACACACACACTCACACTTTTTTTAAATCGTACTTTGTACGTTTCTCAGAGTTTTGTTATTAATGGCGGCACCGATTTTGGAATTTCAGTTCATTCGTATTTTATTTGCAGGGGGGCAAATGGTACTAACTGCCATTCGGTTTTTTCCTTTTATTTTTTTGAGTCTGAAGAAGGAGAGAGGGATGGACTATGGACTGGTAAAAATTAGAAAATTCAGATTATTAGAAATGAAATTGTAATATACTATACCTTTTAGTCGTTGGTCAAATGGTGAGTCATATCACATATGTATGTGATCTTAAAAAGGGAAAAAAAAAAAAGGATATTATTCTATGCAGAAAATTAAAATGACTAGTGAGGTTTATATTTGGAGAGTTTTTTTTTTCCTTCACGAAAACAGGGTAGAAATTGATTTTCTTATGTAATGGATGAGAATTTTGCCTCTTGGATGTTAGTAAATGTTGAACTAAGGATTGGTGGTGATATTGAAAAAGTGAAAAAGATTCATTTTTCGATATTCAAATGAGAGTTTGGTGTGTTAATGAAATTATGGAAGAGCAAAATAACTTTTACCTGAACATCTATGAGACAAATTCTTAAAATAAATAAATAAATATAAATATAAAAGATGGTATAGTTTTCTGTCACAAAATAATATAATACCCAATTATCCCTCAAGCAAGGTTGAGTATACACAAATATTCCGCAACTTGTTGGAAATGAACTCCCTACAAAAATAATATTTACAGTAATAGAAGCGAAATAATCACGTAGAAGCGAAATACGGTAATTAGCAAGAAAAAGAGTGACAATGACACCAAGATTATTACGTGAAAAACCCTTTGTAGGTCCGAGTAAAATACTTCAAAGACCACTACAATACTCAAAAGAAATAACACTCTTTTGATATTCTCACCTCACTACAATATCGCTCACTCTCTATTTTTCTCACAGACTATTTTCTTATAACTTGTTCGTGAAACCTCACTCTTTCTTTCTCTCTTTGTTGGTGTGTAGAAATGAGAGTTGAAGCTCTCCTTTTATAGCCGAAGCCTCACTAGCCTACTATATTTGACAATTTGCACACATTTTTCCTTCTTTTTCTTCAATGTTGACAGTTCAACAAAGTTGGCTACCAAACCAAATAAATTTTCCTTAGGCACATGCCTATTACTTTGGATATTGAATGAGATGTAACCCATCAATCTCCCCCTTCAGTCTCATTCATCTAGAGGAGGTAGCACTATCTTCTAGTTTGAGAGAATGCAGGCCGACAAGTTCTTTGCATAGCTCAAACTTGTCTCTTGATACCACCTTGGTCAACATATTAGCAGGATTTTCACTCGTGTGAATCTTTTTGACCTGTAAAGATTCGTTCTCCACTGCTCACGAATCCAATGATATCTCTGTCATGACCCAAAATCCCAACCTATCGTGATGGCGCCTATCTCGATACTAGGCAAGCCGATAATCTCGATAAACCATAATTTCTCTTAAGTTGAAAATACAATAATTTAATACAATACAAAATCTCATAAATACTAACACGAACACTCCCCAAAGCCTGGTGTCACTGAGTACACGAGCATCTAATATGAATACAAGTCTGAAAAATACGGTCTATAATAGTCTGAGACCAAATACAGTAAATAAGGAGATAGAGTAGGAGAGACAAGGTCTGCGAAATACGGCAGCTACCTCAAAATCTCCTGAAAATCAGTTGTACGGAAGAATTAATACCCGCTATGTCTGGAAACACCTGGATCTGTACACGAAGTGCAGGGTGTAGTATGCGTACAACCAACTCAGTAAGTAACAACAATAAATAAAGAACTAAAGATAGTGACGAGCTACACAGCTACAGTCATATTCAGTAGTTCCAGCAAAGAATAGACATGCTTTCAAATCTGGCAGTTTAATGTCAAATCAATTTTTATACAGTTCATGTTCATGTAATTCGTATATAAAATCTTTCAGAGATTTTACAACAATGACAGATAGCAACTAGGTGCAACAATAAACGAAAATCAAGTACAACCTCTCAGGACAATAATTATTCACTGGGCTCCCAGCCCTCATCACTCACACTCAATGGGTACTCGCGCTCACTGAGGGTGTACAGACTCCAAAGGGGCTCCTACAACCCAAGCGCTATAATCTGCACGGACAACTCACGTGCCATAATATAAATATCTAGATCTGCACGGCCAACTCACTTGTTGCATGGCCAACTCACATGCTATAGTATAATATAAGGATCCGCACAACCAACTCACGTGCTGCACGGCCAACTCACGTGCTATAGTATAATATAAGGATCTGCACGGCCAACTCACGTACTGCACGGACAACTCACGTGCTGCACGGATAACTCACGTGCTATGATATCAATATCTCACAATTAGACCCTCGACCTTTCTCAGTCATAAATCTCTCCAGTCTATCGGGCTCTCATTAATCATGAAATCAGCCCAAACAATAATGATATGATGTATCAATAATAATAACAGAGACTGAGATAAAATGTGCAAGTAAAAACTGAGACTGAGTACATATAGCATTTAGCAGGCAATTCAACAAGTACGCGACCTATGTGGGTCCCAACAGTACTATCGCATAGCCTAAGCATGATTTCTAACATGATTTGCAGTCAAATTTTTATCAACACATAGAGAGCATATATCTAACAACAAATTATTCAACTTTACAGTTTTCTAGGACGGACCAAGTCACAATCCTCTCGGTGCGCGCCCACACGCCCGTCACATAGCATGTGCGTCACCTTCAAAATAATCATATGATACCAAAATCCGGGGTTTAATATCCTCAGGACCAAATTTAAAACTGTTACTTATCTCAAAGCGTGAAATTCTTTACTCTGATATGCCTTTGCATCGCAAATCGGCCTCTGAATGCCTCGAATCTAGTCATAAATAATTTATTTCAGTCAATAAAATTTATTGGAATTAACTCCATAAGAAAATGCTAATTTTTCATAAAAATCCGAATTTTAGCTCAAAAATCGCCTGTGGAACCCACGTCTCGGAACTCAACAAAAGTTATAAAATCCAGAAGCCCATTCAACCATGAGTTTAACCATACCAATTTTTATCAAAATCAAACCCCAACTCGACCCTCAAATGTTCAATATAAACTAAGAGGGTTTTCAAACTTTTCCAACTTAATTTACCAATTAAATGATAAAAACAACCATGGATTCAGGTAATTTAACCAATATTGAGTTAAGAACACTTACCCCATTGTTTTCCTTGAAAAACTCCCGAAAATCGCCTCTTCCCGAGCTCAAATCCATCAAAAACTGAAAATGGGTCGAAGTCCCATTTTCAGAACTTAAACTCTCTGTCCATACCTCTCTTCTTCGCAAACGCGACAGGTCCCTCTCGTTCGCGAAGCACAACTCGACTGCCCACAAATTTAACCCTTCGTGAAGCGACACCTCTCACGCGTTCGCGACGCACACACAGACCATACCTTCGCGTTTGCGTCCTCCCCTTCGCGGACGCGAAGAACAAAACCTCACACTCAGAAAACACTCTTCGCGAACGCGAGGGCCCACTCGCGAACGCGAAAGAGAAAATCAGAAAAATGCAACAGCACATATCAGCAATCTCACCAAGGCCAAAAATGATCCGTTAACCATCCAACACTCACCCGAGCCCCTCGGGACCTCAACCAAATATACCAACAAGTCCTAAAACATCATAAGGACTTAGTCGAACCTTCAAATCACCTCAAACAATGCTAAAACTATGAATTACACCTCAATTCAAGTCTAATGAACTTTGAACTTTCAATCAAATTCTATATCTTGTGCCGAAATACATTAAATCAATCCAAAATGACTTCAAATTTTGCACGCAAGTCATAAATGACATAACGAAGCTATTTCAATTTTCATAATCGGATTCCGACCTCGATATCAAAAAGTCACTCCCTCCCCCCTCCCCCCCGGTGGGGTCAAACTTCCCAAAATTTAACTTTCGGCATTTCAAGCCTAATTCCACTACGGACCTCCAAATAATTTTTTGGACACGCTCCTAAGTACAAAATCACCATACGGAGCTATTAGAATCATCATAATTGAATTCCGAGGTTGTTTACACAAAAGTCAATATCCGGTCAACTATTTCAACTTAAACTTCCAACATAAAATTCATTCTTCCAAGCTAACTCCGAAATACCTTAAAACTAAAACCGACAATTCACATAAGTCATAATACCTCGTAGGAAGTTATGCAAGACCTCAAATAGTTGAAAGGAGCATAAATGCTCAAAACAACCGGTCGGGTAGTTACAATCTCCCCCACTTAAACATACGTCCGTCCTCGAACGTGCCAAGAGTTGTTCCTAAGCCTTTAAATCACTATTTTATCTTACCACACACGTACCCGGGGGTGATCCCACATCACCCTATTCCACATAGGTCTGACAACACAATACAACTGAAAATTCTTAATTTAACCTTAGCCCAAAAACCTTGGAATTCAATTCCCAACCTTCAGAATTTCTTTTCAAGACACGAATCTTACATTTACACATTGTATGAGTTTGAACAAGCTACATCGAGCTATAACTATAATCACCCAGCATATTACACATCTCGCCTGCTCGTAGCACCATTCCTGATCACAGTAACTACTTCAAACCAACCAAGTACTAGTATAAAACCCTACATTCAACAGAACATTATTCCAAAACCTTCGTACACTGCCAAAGATGAAAGAAACAATCAAAAACTCATAATCACTCATCAGATCAACTAGGCATGGAGCTCTCTCGTCCTAACCAGAACCACAATCCTCTCCTAAGCCGACTTTCAATATTATCCTCCCGAATATACCATAATCAAGCCTGATAATACCCATTCTAGGTCCAACGACTTTATTTTATTAAACGCAACTATCCCACAAATACGCCACATCAATATAACTTAAGCCACCACTGCGCACTCCGTGTACCCAAATATGGGAGATGTCTCAAGGAAGAGAACTGTATTGCAAGTTCCATAAGCACTACCACAACCGCAATGTTACAACTAGCTCCTCAAATTTCGTGAATCCGTAGGCGTATGTGCATAATTGTAGAGGAAGGAAATTAATGAATCAGATAAAGTATCATAGAAATAAAATTCCCACACACGGCACGGATGACTCACGTGCCAATAAT